CTCTGCCAACAAGACTTCCTCTCTGTGGCCTCATCTTTACCGATACCACTTCACTTCATGTTCATGTTCACGCTGCAGGTCGCAAAAAGCCGATCCTGCAAAGTGTGAACTAAATCTAAGACAGGGACTGAAAGGTAAAGGCTGCTTTTGTTTTTGAGTGACTCATTCTTAAACATTTTAGGTTAGAGGTTTGTGAACAATATTGTTAAGAAGAAATGTTTCTTCTTCATCTCATTTGAAGAAGTAAATAAATATAAGCGGCACAACAAATAAAGATGACTGGAATCAGTTAATTTTGCAATGCTCTTAAAAACCTCCTTAGAAAATCTGAATATTAAATCAAACGTATTATAGTACATTAACAATCATGTAGAAGATCGCTGACTTGACAGGAGAGAAGTCCGTTCAGACTGCTGTGTTGTTGAGGTAGAACAAGAGAGTGAGGCTGTAAGAGGGGAATTAATATTTTTCAGAGTTTAGCAACAGGAGTGTTTCAGAAATCAGCTTTTGATGACCTTAGATAAACTGGGTCAAACCTGGCAGGTAGAGCAGGAGGTGACTTAAATATGGACTTGAATCTGTCCAGAAACACAAACACTGCTCTTGGAAAACACTGCCATTTATAATACACCTATTTAGGACACCGGTCAAATAAAAAAGTGAAATTTGTATTACTAAACTGCACACAGACACTGAATTTAAAAATTTTTAATTGAGTTGAAGGAAAAAAATGTAGGAAAAGGACTGGATAGCTGTTTGAAATAATCTTTTTTACATGAAAGTGCATTTAGCATTTGGAGTTTAAGAGGCCAGTTTCAATCAGAGATTATTTGTGACAACATGTCATCTGCTAGAGTTGGTTTATTATGTTTTATTAAATCCAAAATCAAAAAAATTTAGAACATAAAATCTTCATTCTGTTTATAGGCTTTGTGTAGAGAATGATTTCGTTTTCAAACAAGATTTTCCTGCTGCCCACAGGAATCCAGATCCACTGAGCTGGATTGGCTATCAAACTGGCCTAACACTCAGAAGAAACTATGAGGTTTAGTTCAAGAGGAAAAGAAGAAACACCAGAACCAACAATCCAGAAACCTGAAGGCAACAAGAAGCTACAGGCTGATCACCTCCATGAAATCCATGCAAAAGGGCCAATTCCAATTTTCTGGCAAACAAAATGGCATCAAATCTCTACCAAGTAGAGAAATAATCATTAAAAATAATAGAAATAATCCTTGGAATATATCACTCTGTAATAAAGTGTAATGTAGGATTCCCAGATTTGTAACTGAATTGCTGATATTCAATATGCATTGAGATGCAATTCGTACCTGAAATTATCCTTTTGAACTGAATTAGACTGAATTATAATAAACTGGATATAAATTGGGCATGCATTCTCACATGAGATTAAATTTGCAGAGAATAAATTCAAATGGAGGACAGTTTTTCTAACGTGACCCAGAAAACTGTGAAGCAGTCTGATCTAACTTTCTGTAGCTCTTTGTGGCAGTCCTGTCCTAAAATGTTTGCACTTTGGACACTGATTGGTCACAGCTCTGCACTACAGTGCACTCAACTGGCAACTTTACGCCTAGAAATACCAATCCTGCAGCCACAAAGCCCTTAAGGGATTATGAATTATTCAAACACAGCCCCTGAAACACTGAAACACTTCCTTCTCTGCTGGTTCTAGACTCTGCACACATGCACAAACATACAAACATATAAAGACTGCACAGCTATCACACACACTTCCATGCATGTTGTCCCAGCAGAAGTGCTTCACAACCAAACCAGACGGAGTACTCTAACCGGCCTGTGGGTCAGATAGAGACCAAATCTGACAGCTAACCATTCTCTACAGCAAAAATAGCTTTACTGATAAAAAAAAAAAAAAGAAAAACTCATTTAGATTCTTCTCACGAAGTACGTTTTACTCTGAAATTATGTCCAGAACTCTGTCTCAGCAGGGTAAGATCTTCATTAATTAAAGAATACCAAATGTCACAGTCGAACCCTCAGATGTTCTTCATGTCTGGACGTGATGCAAGAATGTGGCTCCTGTTCTTTTAACCACATTTACACAATCATTCCAACCGGCCGGCTCAGTTCTTCAATATTACAGCTTTTCATCTATTTTACAAAGCATGACTAAGATACAAGGAACGTTATAAGATGAAGATTAGGGTTCAACAAAAGTTGAATTGTAATAAATCGTCACCACTAATTATTAGAGATGAGCTGGTCCAATATTCAAATCTTTATCTGTCCCGGTACTGAAAAAAATTCTAGATCAGGTTTCGTGACAATGTGTCCTATTAAAAGGGAAGATCTATTCAGCCTAATTCTATACTTTCAGCTCTGAACAAACTCATGCCTTAATATTTATCACTCATTATATTTATAATTTATAACTGCACTTTCTCAACCTATTGTTTTGGTCAGTTTCATTTCCTTTATTATTTACTTTTCGTTGGCTGTTTCTCCTAATTGCACTGACTGAACAACTTTAAGTTGTTTTGTTTTTACACATTTGACCAAGTTTATAAAGTTGAAATGGAGCAGAGTTATAAAATAAATTTGTAATTCAGTACATTTATGTCTATGCTTTGAAAAAGAAACATGTTAAGTCAGGTCAACGCTGTTTTTCTGCATCGGATCACGGTCAGCACCTTTTGTCTATATCAAAAACTATTTTAATACATTTAATTGGGTTTAATTATCCTGGTGTCCTTGCTAATGGTTCAGACTATTTATATACAAATAAATGCAGACATAATCAAAAATTAGAAAAATGTAATTATTCAAGCTCTGAGGGGTTGATTTGCATGCAGTGAAGTCTCAGAGACAAAATGTAAAATTTCTTTTTTTTTTTGGAAAGAGTAGAATTTGTTTGAAAAAATAGTTACTGAAAGTGAACAGTGGCCTGTTGTTTATTGAGTGACAACATAAATATAAAGTGTTTACTTTTACAGGAGAAACTCCTTGTTTAATAAAGAATCTCAGAACATGGGAGATCCGTGTTTTACTCCATGCCAGGAACGCGTTTGATTTCAAAAAGCTTTTGTAAAAGCTTCTAAACGCAAATCTGTTTACTGCAAACAGTGACTATGTCAGAGTTTTTAAGGTTATGCAGGTAAATTAAATCTGATCTTCAGGGAGCAGCAGGCTATATTTTTGTCAGCTTTGAGCTGTTCGCTCATTATTCAAGTTGTATTAGATACATTTTGTCTGTTGCTGCTCTGTTGGCAGTGGCAGCCCTGACTACAGACTCCTCTGGGAAATCAGCCCACTTCCTGTTGCATCGGAGGCATAGAAGGAGCAGCGAGTGGAGGCAGAAATTGGGATGATACAAAGAGGCTGCTCTAAGGTTATTTAGTCAAGCTGCACTTTTCATCCTTCCTGTGTGAGAAATGGGGTCAATGTAGCACATACAGCACTGCACCTGCTGCTGAAGTGGTGATGTAAAAGCTCTCCGGACTGTATTTTATAGCTGCTTTTTGTACGTAATGTACAGAAAAGCCAAACAGGAAGCAATTTTTTCTTTGTTTATTCTGAGAATGTAGTTTCAGGGGATGAAAGCTAAAAGAAAAAACTCTTTACTGTACATTTAACTATTTTCACTGCTCTAGAAAGAGTTGCAGGAACAGGAAAACACAACCAGTCCCACCTTTACCAATTTATTTGCAGGCATATCTAGTACACTGACTTAAATTTCCTGAAGTGACATATTGGAATGAAACTTTAGTGATGTTCAAGTACCTTTGAATAATCAAACTTTGATTTTGTGCCTCTGGGACCTTGATATTCTATTGAAATGCTAGATTTGTGTTTATCTGAGAATACAACTTTGGACTATTGGGCAAAAGTTCAGTCCTTTTCCTGTGGAAAGACATCCGAATGTTCCCTCTGCTTAACTCAAAGAGGTCATCAGTTGCAGCCTAAATCTTACACGTCTGTCTACCCGTTCAGTTTTTTGCTATTCTGCAAACACTGAATGAACTATATGCAAAATCAACAGATTTCGGTCAGTTTTCATGCTGATGAAAATTAGGAGTTTACTGCAGATTTTCTGCAAAATGTAGTCAGAACCATTGGGTTTAACCCCCACCTGCAAGTGGCGGTATTTCTTACTTTCACTACACTACAGCTTCAGCCTTACTTCAGTTACAGTCCGTGATCAACATGGCAAGTAATACAACTGAGCTATTTAAATTCCTTAAAGATTAAAAATATTTGTGTTCAATCAGACTGCTTTTTTATGTAGTTTTTTTAAAGGGTTTAATGAGGAGAATATAACAAATTTTTGCAAATATTTCCACAAAATTGAAGATTTTTATTGAAAATAAAATCACAAAAACAATTGTGAAATCCTGAAGGAACTGACATGTTTGAGTGAGCGCCTTCTTGTACCTCGGTTTTTCCTTCCACTTAACTTTTTCTTATTATCCTGGGACGCATAACTTGATAAGCAAGTTATGTATTGCTACAGCCAGCTTTTGTAACAATATTTCAGAGGTTGAATCTTCAACTGTCAAAACAAAATCTTTCTATGCAGATTCCTTCTTTTGAATTGAAATACTGAGAGAAAGTGTTAAAAGATCACACAAACCTGTGTTTCGTTCCTTTTAAACCCCAACATGGTTTAATTTCTGGACTAATGTATGTGGCTTTATGAAACTTTTCAGCACTTCTTTACCCAAAAGCTGACGGCCTAAAGTATAAGTTTCAGTCTCTGCATCATCCTCTCTCGGCCTGTTTTTAATGAAATGTCAGAAGAAAATCACAGCAGCTGCAAAATGGCAAAACCCCCAAGACTGGGTTCTTAACTGAGCTTCTTTAGTCATGTACAATGACAGCTGGAAGTTAAACATTTTCACGTTGAAAGTAAACATGGACTCATTATGTATAATTTAACAAAGACCAATAAAATGAGCTGTCGGAGTAAAAAATAAATAAATCTGATTGTGCAGCTTTGTTTCTCCATAACAGCATACCTGGTTCAGATGCTCGGACAGCGCATCCCGAAGCGACCCAGTGGATCCAGACCGAGAAAAGCCGCCAGCATCCTTATCTCAGCCGCAGAGGAGCGCTGGGCATGGGACTGCGGCGGAACTTCTCCAAGGATCAGCCGGAGTCCGGAAACAAACACAAACCCCGACAGTCCGAGGGACCGACACACAGTAGGTCAGGCTGACCAGCGTGGAGACATCCGGGACCGGAGGTGCACAACCAGACGGGTCAGAGGACGGAGACACTCCGGGACAAGCGCCTTTTTACGCGCACGCAGCCTTTAAAGCGACGGGTTCACCTTCTGATCTTCACGGGAATCCAGATACAGATGTAAAGGAGGAGACCAAAGGAAGCATAAGAAATGCTGAAAACATTTAAATCAAATGTACATCCAACAAGTGATGGAGGCAAAAGCAGCAGCACTTGTGGGATGACAGGGAGGAGAAGGAGGAGAAGAGCCGCCCCGCGTCACAGACCCTCTCTCTCTTGCAAAGAGAAAGAAAAAAAAAACCGTGATCTCCTTTATTACACAAGCTGCACTGAGGATATCTGCAAAAAATACAGCACGAAACAGTAGGAGCATGATGAGGGAAATGACTTAATCTGACCTTTTCAACTGTAGATTTTTGCTGAAAAAATAAGACAACTTGCCTTACCTCAATCTCTGCCTTAATCTGTATCACTGTAGCTTAAACGTCGGAAACCCAGATAAAAAGACCAGTTTAAAGAATAAAGCAGAACCTCCCTCTGTTCTTTAATGGGATCAGACCCAAACAGACGTCTCTTCATAAACCTTTGTTCTCTGAAGTCACAATTCCCCAGAAGTTTCCCACCAACCCCAACCTCAGCATCCAACATGGCCGCCACACAAACTGCATCATGAGCAGCTCTTGATTTGCTCTCCTGACTGTATTGTTAAATCAGTATCAATCAGTAGATTTGATTTAATGTCTTTTTAGCAGTATAATGTGATTAATGAATGTATGCTTATATGATGCTGGTGTTTCTTTCTGAATCTGATCATAATCCATGGACATCTCAGTCCAAGGAAGCCACTCGCTATGTCAATATGACACAGAGTCCTAATTTTAGCGAAACCACTCAACAATATGTGTAACCTGTCCTGCTGTCTATGCGCTGGTAACCCAGTGCAGTTCAACTCAGACATTTAAGAAATTCTTTAAGAATCACTGTCAAATATCAAGTTTTCCAGTTTTCTATGCCGATCTTTGTTGCACCCTTGCAGCAATTGGTAGCTTTGTGTCATATGAGAGGTTTCGTCCTGCAGGAACTGCGATGCAGTCAGCATCAGGCGCCAATTTGTTCTGAGCATTTGTCGTCAGTCGGCTCTTCGAGTTCAGTAAAGGTGATACTGTTTGGATCTACCACTTTGTGTTTATTCTTGGATCTTTCAAGAAATTGAAAATCCAACCTTCCTGCATCTTGAAAGAGGCCTTGATTTATTCATTTACTTGTTTACTTGCACTTTAAAAACCAAAGGCAACCAAAGAGCAGGAGAGGTCAATCAGAAAATACAAAGTGAAAACTAAAACTTAACTATAAGAAATGTTGGTGATTGTGCAGAACAACCATCCTGCTAATTTCAAAGACGATAAACCTTTTTGGTATTTGTCATCAAGGGTCATGGAAGTGTGAATGCCTAAAACAGAATCCAGACGAATGTACAAATTTGCATTTGTCAAACGCTTGATCAGCTGTTCAACAGCCTGTTTGAATCTTCTTTTTGCAATTTCAAACATAACTTACATTATCTTTAATTTGGCAAGTTTTAAGATTTTATTCATGAATATATAAATGCCTCTCAGCTGGGTTCAGCATGTTCTCAGGAAAGTGGGCGATGCACAAGGTCTGTGTTTGTAAAACCACAAACACAGACCTCTGAGCTACAGTAATTGATTTGCCCTAAATCACTGCTCCGTTAATCTACTTACTGTTGCAACCAAGTCAACGCAAAATATCAATAGAGAAGGAAGGTCTGGCTGACTAAACAGGGCTCTGCTTGTGTTACAAACCAGTAGAGGCACTTAGAGATTGATGCAAGCAGAGAGCCGAGGACATGAGGGTGGTGGAAGTCTGCAATCACACAATGCTGCAGGAGTAAGAAATCTTAAGCAAAAAGAAAAAAGGGGGAGGGAGAGGAAGCTGAGGGAGCAAGATATGCGCAAAGCTTCTGTACAACATGCTGCAGGACATCTGCTCAAAAGGAACAGAGTTTCACCTAATCTGGGATGTTTTCAGGTTAAAACGGTTTGTTCATTTAAACTTTCCAGGGCCACATCTCAAAAAACAAAAAACCTCAGAATGACCATCCACTAAAGCTCTGCACACAGAAAATAGTCAATATAATTATCTGCTGTTCTTGTGACCGGCATAGCACTTTTTATTCCAACCTGCACACAAAATCTTCACGCTTCACTCATCTTTAAGAATAAACAAAAAGAGGGAGTCAAATTTTATGATAACATTCAAGTAAATCATAAAGTTAGTGAATTGCACATCAAGTTTTTAAAAAATGTTTACACGAACAACCCGTCCACTCAGCTTTGAATGAAAGTTGGAAGGAGCTAATTTAACTTTAAACTAGACAATACAAATATTTTTGGTCGAGTTTAAACACTTTTCTGGGCTCCAAATTCCACATTCCTTTTTTTTTGTATATAACCAAAAAAATTCAAAAGAACTCTGGGAGATTTCTGCAGCTGTCAGAATAAATTTTTCAACTCAAATAGTGCATTAAACTTCAGTATCTTACAATCTAGATTTTTTACTTTATTAATACCAAAGACAAAATTAAATGTTGGTCCAGCTTGCACAATTTGAAACAAGAATCATAGAGGTTGATATCTGTGAGAAGGGTCTCCTGTAGCAGTCCATAATACAGCAATCCTGAAGAGGGTTAGGGTAGGGTATTAGTCTCACAAAAAGGATGCTCACGTTTGTCCAAATGTCCAAACATGTTCTGTTTTATAAAGAATCCTTCTTTGCACCAGAATCTCCAGATGTTCCAGCGTCGCCACCAGAACAGAACCAGGCTTCTTTACCAGATTATTCAGCTTTTTCCACTCTGTCTCTGATGCTGCTGACCCAATAGGAAAAGGCAGAGGAGATTGCACTCTCCAAAACAGATTTATAGAAGATATACTGCAAACACTCATGTGTAGGGCTGTTTCTTTAAAAGCTTTTTAAGTTTAAATTCAGAAATTCATCATAAATTCATGATCAAATGTAAATAGTTGATTCGGTAGTATTCAAGAAACCCTAGACTGAAAGAATAAACCGTCAGAGGGGAGGATGTGCTGATGATGTTCAAGTTAAATGATAATTTACTGGATCTTTCCCCTATTTGGAAAGATGACAATTGAACAGAAAGTAAAAGTGGAAAGTAAAAATATTTTGCACACCGTTTAAGTAATATTCCATAAATAGACCATAAACAGTTCAATTTCAACATTTTTTCCAAATGTCACCATGTAAAAGACCCCTTTAGTGTATAGACCAGCTAATGCAAAGCATGGCAGTATTTTCCAGTAGTCCGTACTCCATGTATGATTGTATTTGAAAGAAATAACAGTGCTGTATTCAGGGGGAGGTGCAGACACTAGATCTGAGCATCAGATTGCTGGATCAGTCAGCAGTGACCTTCCCTCTCATCATCATGCCAGACTGCTCTTAGTATTACAAGATTACATTTTAGCCAGACAGGAAGTGCATGATGCTGCAGGAGATGGATGATGGAAAAGTTTCAGGTATCTCAGTGTTTAAATGACGGAGGTGACACCAAAAATAGAGCCTCCCATCCACAACTATGGCAAAACGTTACCACCGCTGACGCTGCAGTGATTAAGTCTGGGCTTATAACACAGACAGAAATCAGGGTTTATGCACCTTTTACACAGTGAAATTCAAACACCTTTCAAGCATTTTAAAAGTAAGCTTTCAAAACTTTCCACTCCCAAAAAATTGTTCCTGCAAAGTTTGTGACATTAAGAAAATAGAAATAATTTTGGAAATACTGATAATTTTGGTGATTCTAACTGACCTGAAAAAAGTTTAGCCTGATTTAAAGTCAGTGAGAAAAAAATCTCTTTTATTAGATTAATAAAAAATATCTGGTTTTAACTGTAAATAAATTTAGGTTGTAAATCAATCAGTAGATTACTTATATACTTATTATATGAATATTATGCTTTTTGAAGGGCCTTAAACAGAAATCAAACATTTACATTTAAATGTTTAATCTTATACTTAAAATCAAGTATAAAATCAAACATTTCATTTTATACTTAAACATAAATCAAATGTTTTATGCCATGTGAAAGATAATCTGTGGCAAAAAACAACAATTAAACAACTAATTAACTGAAATCAATTATTTTTTTAATTTCAATTAAATTTCAGTTTTCCATCACAGTGAAGAGTTAAAGCCAGAGGTTCGTTAATCTGCAAGTATCTCCTCGATTCAATACATCACTGACAAACTGAGGAAAAACTGTACAAATCCTGCACAGCTTTGTAAATACTTTATAACTTAAAGCAAACACTGCAGCCTTTAACTGTGCAGCTTTTTAGAGCTGTGTACAGATGAGCAGCATCTCCATGGCAGCATGTAGAGTTAAGAGGTCACACCGTGTGTGTGTGTGTGTGTGTGCGTGCGTGTGTGTGTGTGCGTGTGTGTGTGCCAAAAGAGCTCATTTTACTTCCTTTGTGTGGCTGAAGCACTGATTTGATGTTTATCTGCCCATCCCTGGTATGTAACTGGAGAGACAAAAGCAACAATAAAACACCAGAAGAGAGTTTATTTGTCAATTCCCACTTGAAAAATAAGCATTATTTAGAGATATATATCCAGCAGTCTAACCTGAGAAACATCTTTAAAGAAAAGTATGGAGGATGATTTATTAAGGTCAGGTTTTGAGAGCCTGATCATTAAGCGAATCCCCAAATTCATTATTATCGGTGGCTGCCTGGCAGCTGCAGGGTTTTAAAGTGGTGAAGAGTTAAAGAACATTTTAAAAAATCTATCTGAAACAATAAGAAAATCTACCTGGAAGTGTTCAAGTATAAAGAAAAACAGCAACAAAAAAAAAAAGATCCTCCTCAGTGTCAGCTGTAAGAAACACTTGATGCACTCAGCATTTCAGGTTAAGAGAGTCACATCTGTGGATGTAGTCCTCCAGTCTCCTGCCTTTATTGTTGGACATCATCCAAAACAGAGTAGAAATAATCTGGTTGAGAATTAAAGAAATTTTTTTAAATAAGCAAATAAAAGGCAGTTAAAAATCTAAAAATGCTGCCAAAAAAAACTTGTCCAGCTTGTGTTTTTTATGGCGTTCATCAATTAGTAGACGATGATCGTCCCTGTTTTATCTAATGA